GACACTTACTCTCTTGGCTCCCAGAGATGAAAGGCTGACCCAACTATCCTGGAATTTGAACTTGTGATTCCCTGAAGTAACTTTGATATTGAAACATCTAAATCATCCTCCACAATTTCATGTGTCTCCAGGCCAAACCAGCAAAGTAGCTAGAGCACATCCTTTTCTACAAGCAAAGAGCTGATATCTGGGCGATCTTTCCAATTATCTGTTCCTCTGTTTCCCCCCTATTTTGCCCTTTTTAGGAGAAGGTCAATGCTGAATTAGGATTTTTCCTATACAATAGGCTTCTGTCTACGGCCATACCACCCTGAATGCGTCTGATCTCGTCTGATATAAAATAGGCTGCTAATATTCCATGCTGGACATTATTTTCCCAGCATTTCTTATAGGGTGCCAGGCTTTTCTTAGACTTTATGTCATACAATACTTACTTGTTTGGAGTAGTTGAGATGGAAACATAGTCTATTGAAAACATCACTGCTTCCTCTCTGAAATTTAAAGAGACTATTATCATCCTTCTTTTAGATGCTGTTTCTCAGGCAAAACCTCATAAAGATAGGTGGGGCAAAAAGAAGGGCTTATGATATCCACAGGGTTAGCTTTTCCTAAATGAATACTGTGCTACTAAATTCCTATCAATAATAATATAAATGGGGCCCAGCTCACTCTTGTGGTAAGGGACGGTACACCTCCGTAGTTTAGAGTCTAGCCTTACCCTCTAAACAAGCATATAACCACCAGCTGGGATCATGGGCAGCTTATAACATTGTCAATTATTATTATTGGAAAGATATTTGGACCTTGAAGCACCCAAAAATGTTTTATCTTTTGGAGAAGCAATATGGTAGAATGGCTAACTGGTGAGTTCCAGAATCAGAGGAAACTGGTTGTTTAGCTTTTCTAAGCTTCAGATTCCTTAAAGGCAAAATGAACAAGACATATTATCCATCCCCAAGAGAACTAGGAAAATTAAATAAGAAAAATATGTGCAATTAACATATATAATGTAGTGCCCAGCCCTGAGCGAGAGAAGTATCTTATTAAAATAATAAATTGTCTAATTATTAGTCCTAGGTCTATCAGTTTGTTTTTATGTGACCTCAAGCAAGTCACCAAATCTTAGCAAGCCTTAGGTTATAAATACGACTGATGCAAATAATATCACTTTACTGGAGATTACCATGTAAACTATAAAGTGTCTGCAAATGTTAATCAAGGTTATTGTTACTGCCATTGTTATTAGCTCTCAGTGATCTTTTCAATCAAAAAGTTTGTGGATTGCTTTCTTTTGTAAAGCCAGGAGCTAGGATAAGAGCCAAGAGACAATGGGAGAATGTGAATTTCATGTAATACTTCAGGGCATTCACCAGCTTCCTAAATATCTGTGTATGGTACACAATGTGTTATTATGTATATCACAAATTAAGATGTTCTGAAACTTATTCCCTGATGAGTTGGTTAACATTTCCTTCGAAGTGATAAATTTCCTCAACCAACCTGAGTGAGCTAAAGGGCCAAGATTTTTTTTTTTTTAATAATCTTACCTTCCCTGGTGTCAGTAGGAAACAATATTTACTCACTACTGTTTTCCTTTCAAAAATCTGTCTAGTTGCATACTAGAAACAGTGTCAGCTGGTTTGTTTGTCTTGGACAAGCTGTTGAAGTGAAAAGTTTTTGCTTGGCTCAATGTGGGACAGTTTCATAACCCTTCAAGAAGTGCATTGAAGGTGGGTGCCAGTTCCGGCTGCTTCTAACATGCCTCCACTTGCTGCCCATTGTCAAGGGTGGCCAATGTAATTAAATTAAGACAATAAGCAAAGCAACAGATGCGACTGAGACCAAATCCCTGAGTGCTTTTGTTTTGTCACTGTCATTGTCTGCAACAAAGAAGTCACATGTGAGAGCCTGGGAAGGGAGCCAAATGCAAACCAGACAACATCCCAGCTGGTTTTGAATGGCCTCCACCTTACGCGTGTGTGCATGGGAACCATGCTACTTGGAGCAGTGTCTGCTCTACTCAAGTTAGTTTCTGCCCGTGGCTTTGCTGCAAGGCTGAAACAGACTCAGAAGAAATAGGCCAGATCCCTGTGCTCAGACTGACACTTTACACCTCTGCTTTGAGAGAAAAGAAGAAGAATCTCTCTGTTGGGGAAAAGGATAAGATCCACATGGTTAACCAATCTAACCTCAATCCTTTTTGCTACAGCCTTCATGAATTTGAAGAGGGATGGAAGAAACCTGAATTTTTTCTTCTGTAAATCTGGGATTAATTTGGCTTGAGAGAAAGACTAGAGATTATCTCACACCTCATCTTTTAATTTGTTACTATTTCATTCTTGAGCATTTTTCCTAGTATGCTCATTATCCAGATTCTTAAAATCTTTTTCTAAACTGGTATGCCTGTTAAAGAGAAAACAAGGCAAACTCAAATTAGCATATTTTTAGATCTGTTATTTAATTTGATTAGTAGTTTGGTAGAGAAGTGGTATCCTTAATAATGGCCATGTGGGGGTTTTGATGAGCCACATACCATCTGCAGGGTCCACTGCATACTAAACAGAAATGTTTCAAGGAGTTTGGGACAATAGTGATACAACTCTGTAGCCCCATTTGTTTTTCTTCCATTTTTCAGGAGAACTCCTTTAAGAATGCAGATTGGTGGGGGGTGGGAGGGATGGGGTGGCTGGATGATAGACATTAGGGAAGGTATGTGCTATGGTGAGCGCTGTGAATTGTGTAAGACTGTTGAATCACAGACCTGTACCTCTGAAACAAATAATACATTATATGTTAAAAAAAAAAGAAGAAGAAGAAGAAGATAGTAGGAAGGGCAAAATGAAGGGGGGGAAATCAGAGGGGGAGGCGAACCAGGAGAGACTATGGACTCTGAGAAACAAACTGAGGGTTCTAGAGGGGACGAGGGTGGGGGGATGGGTTAACCTGGTGATGGGTATTAAAGATGGCACGTATTGAATGGAGCACTGCGTGTTATACACAAACAATGAATCATGGAACACTACATCAAAAACTAATGATGTAATGTATGGTGATTAACATAACATAATAAAATTTAAAAAAATTTAAAAATGCATCTAAAAAAAGAAAAAAAAGAATGCAGAATAACATGTAAGATTAGGAATATAAATTTACTGGTAGCTTAACAGTGGATATTTTTATATCGACAAATGCATGTTAAGTGGACTTGGTGAAGTTGTATGGTATCTGGGGGGAAAGTGCCAGTATTTTAAACCGATGCATTTCAAGCTATCCTATACAAATGTCAAACTTCTTCCCACAAATATTCAATGGCCACTGAGCTAGTTATTTTAATAAACATATTTACACAATGAAACTATCTTCCCTCTATTTAGTCAGTACAGGATATTGACCATCAACTTACAAAGTGCTAACTAGCTTTTTAGAAGGACTTGATAACTCTAACATTCCAGGTAGAGCTGAAAAATATGTGTAAGAGAAATTACCAAATCCCTATGGGCCTTAGCCAATAGGTTTTATTTCCAGGGATTGTAGTCAATTCTGTCCCAGCTTCTCACACCCTGCAGGTCTCAGGTCTGAACAGTTTCCAAAGTCCTTTACAATGATCTATAGGTTCCTAAGAACGATTGGGTTGAGAGGTCATTACTTTAGCCAGAAGGAAGAATTTGGAGATTCCAGAGACCATAGTGAGAACTCTTATTTTTGGTCATGATGAAAACATGTTCTGGGAAAAAGGGATATTGTGGATTCTTGAACTTTATTCTGTACCAATAATGATTCATTATGTCCTCCTCTAAGGGCCTCCTCGTTAGAGGTGAAACCAAGAGAAAAAGCACCTTATGTTTATGCATGCTGATGCCACTTCCTCCCGGATTTAATCCACATCTTCTTATTTGTATAAGCTTTGCTATTTAAATATATTCAAGGATAAAATAATAACTATAGGAAAAGTACAATGACTTGATTATACACATTATTAGAGGGCCCAGTATAGTCATTTAATTCATTCTATAGCTATTTATTGGGCAACTGCAATATTTCAGGCATTGTTTTAGAGAAAGGTATATTAACAGTGAACAGACAGATGGGTCTCTACTATATAGGGCTTCTATTCTAAGCAAAACTCAATATTCCTTGGATAACAGCATTGCTTGCTAATAAGTGAATGGTAGCACCAAAGCAAGGAACCCAGGGTTTTTAGTGCAGGAATGGTTTCCAATGAAGATGAAATAATAATAACAAGTAAATAATGATAACTAATACTTATATAGTGCTTACCATGTGCCAGGCCTATTATAAGTCTTTTAGGTACTAATTCTTTAATTCTTAATCCTACAAGGTAGGAACTATCGTTATGCTAGTTTATAGATGAAATTGAGACACAAGAGATTGCCACTTGCACAAGTTCACATAACTAAAACTGAAAGAGTCAGGATTTGAACCCAGCTCAGTACATCTGTGATTTTACAGATTCTAAGTCAATTATAAAACTTCCCAATCTTCTACTTCTAAAATTCTCCCTTTCTCCATAGGAGAAAAAGAAGAAAATGAAAAATGTCTCCTTTTTACAAAAATTAAACCAAAACAAAATGCAATAAAACTACAGAGGATGATCCCAGAATGTCCTTTTCCGCCCCCCCTCTTAGTAGGAAAAGATGCCACAGGCCAGAATTCTGGATTTTTCATTCTCCTTCTGGTCAATGAGTCCATGATAGTGGCAGATGAATAGAAACACATTTTTGTGTGATTATAAAGCAATCTGTAGTCCCCATGACACCAGGGACACATAAAAGTAGCCTGAGTAAAGTTTGACTGCACTAAAAACTAAAGGCCTATCTACTTACATATGTTTTTCTTAGAAAAAAAACAGGCTCAAGGTGTCCGTGAGATTGACCGATGAAGCATCAAATATGAAAGGTTGAGACCCAGTGTTAGAAATAGATGGGTAGGGTACATAAAACTTCATCAAATTAATGTCACTTTTTCTCCCTTATTTTTAGGAAGTACATTTGAAGAACGCAAGTAGAGGGAGTGCAGGAAACAAGAACTACAGAATGTAGGAAGACCTTCCTGAATTGTGAAGAATGACATGCCACCGGCAGGATCATTTGCTCTGTAGGAGTTACCTGATAAACATCAGAAGACTTACCAAAAAAAAATAAGTTTGATAACATTTCAAAAGACGGGCATTCCCCCCAATGAAATACGCAAGTAAACATTCCAACATTGTCTTTAGGAGTGATTGTTAAAAGCTTTGCACCTTGCAAAAATGGTCCTGGAGTTGGTAGATTGCTGTTGATCCTTTATCAATAATGTTCTATAGAGAAAAATATATATATAAATATATCTTAGTCCCTGCTTCTCAAGAGCCACAAATGCATGGGCGTTGTGTAGATCCAGTTGCACTAAATTTGTTTCTGAGTCTTGGCTGCTGGAGCCATTCATTCAGCAGTCTTGTCTAAGTGGTTTATTCTTTTTTTTTTTTTTTAATTTGCACTTCTTTCTACGCAACACAGGCCATTTGTTTTACATTGTCTGATAATCTTGTCTATATTCACCCTCCCCCCACTTCATCTTTATATTTGCCAAATTTGGCCTCCTCAAGAGCAGCAACAAGCAGTCAAGTAGCACACCCAAAAGATTTTAACCCAAAAGATTCCATCTGTGGCATTTGTACCAAATATAAGTTGGATTCATTTATTTTAGACACAAAGCTTTATTTTTCCACATCTTGCTAGAAAAAATTTTGAGGCCAATCATTTTTAGGCATATGTTTTAAGCATAGGAAGTCTCAAACTCTCAACAGTTCCTTCAAATGATGAGTTAATGTGCAAACTGATTAGTAACTTCTCTTTTTTTTTCCATATAGAGCACTATGTAAATTTAGCATATCAAGAATACAGGATATATCACAAACAGTATGTAAAACTCTGTTTTTTTAGTACAATGGTGCTATTTTGTAGTTTGTTATATGAAAGAGTCTGGCCAAAACGGTAAAAGGTGAAAGCAAAACAGAAGAAGCCTGGAGCCCAAGATGATACGAAGGGGAAGGGTCCTAAAAATCCATCCATTTGGGAAAGAAGGCAAAATTCTCCCAATGATGACTTCCAAGAAAAACTTAAGACACAAAGTCCGCTAATGCAAATTTGACTGGGGAGTCCAGAGAGGAGTGGAAAAAGCAGAAGGCTAGGAATTTAACAGTCCTGGCTTCTATTTCTCACTGAAGAAATAAACATTTGCCAACTCTGTCACGGACTCACCATTGTGTGACTTTGGGCAAGTCACTTCACCTCTCTGTGCCTGTTTCCTCATCTACAAAATGGGGGCAAAACGCCATCTACCTACCTCACAGGGGTGGTATGAAGATTACAAAGATAAAGCTCCAGATTTTATTCTGGGTTGCTATAAGGGCACAAGTTCAGAGCCCTTCAGTTGCTGGGAGGCAAGGAATTGTAGAAACAACCCATTCACCGCATAACTAGGAAACTGATCAGCTGAATGTTCCTGACGTGCTGATTCTTGTCAATGTAGCTAGCCCACAAACTATCCAATTACCTAGTTGTTAAAAGCTGCCAGCTCCATCTCTTTTAAAACCCTTTCAAAATAAGTAAGAAATATCTGATACACAATCAGATCTGAATTCTGCATTTGGATTTATGAATACAAAGTGCAAAGAGAGAAAGGAAAAGAAAAAAAAAAAAAGATTTCCACCAGTGAAAGAGGGACTACTCCATCTGTTAGCACTCATTGACTCACCCAGGCAGTTACTAGTAATCTAGTAATACTTCTTGTAATATTATAAATGATACTCTGTTCATTTTGAACAATATAGTTATTCCTTCTCTTTGGGTAACCACCTAAAAAAAAATGGCCCAGGATTTCAAATATTGAAATAATATCTAATTCTAAAAAAATCACAAAATCACTTTCTTTAATAAATTTTGCTCTTATCCTTAGCTATATTTACATATACATTTTTTTATTTTTTGTTAAAATATGCTTGACTAGAGTTGCTAGTTGAGAGGCAAAATTTTCCTTTAGAACTAGAAATTTTCTTTTATGTCTGCTGACAAGAGTGACCCCTGGCCTTCTGCGGATGCATCTTATCCATTCAACTGAAAATTGATATCAAGAAAATCCAACAGTGAGGATAGGCCCATGGTGACCTAGAAAATGTTTCCCAACTACATTTTAAGATTTTCTTATTAGAACAATGAATCATCCATCATTCAGATCTTTTTATCTGCCTTCAAACTTTTTGGTGAAAAGCCACCAGGCTAGATTACTTCATGCAAAGTGTATTTCTTTGTTCTTGGAAATTGTACATGGAAAACCAAAATAGCATCTTTAGTTTTCATCCCACTGGTTCACCTCAAGGTTCAGAAACCAGAAAACGTCTAAGACTTCCTGGATCTTCAAACATATGCAAAAAGAAGCCCTATATAGTGGGTACCCCTGCTCAGCCAATAAGTGCTTAAACCCTCAGACCCTCAGCATTACTTGAATTGAGCACCTCTGTCAGGCTGAGCAATGTTGTGATCACTATAGACAAATGTAAAAGAAACTAGAAGTCATTTTTGCCCTTTATCTGTTTTCCAGACAGATGTGTTCTGTGGATTTAGATGCTGGACCTCTCTTCCCAAAATGGCACTTCTGGTTTTTATTTCTTTTTCTTCATGTGTACCTTTTAAAATTGCTGTCTCTCAGCAACAGTTTACATGCAATCCTCTGCAGACCTATGGGTTTCCAGGCACAGTTGGATATGGTAATTCTAAGAGTATCTATGACTTATTTGATTCACTTAATAATTCTATTCACAGCCAAAACTACCCTAGTGAGGAAGGCTTTAATATGCAAAGCTTTATTATCTTTCTTCATTTTTTCCAACACATAATCCTCTCCAACTGTATCATAAATCAATGAACTAAAAATTAACTAATTATACTAACTCACTATCTTATTTTTAAATGAAATAAAACTAGAAGACAAATCGATGTAAAACCTCAAAAATCAGTTGATCTACATACTACAGCAGAATGACCCAGGATCGATAGAAAGGAGCACCTAAAATTTCACATCTCAAAACTTTTACAAGCTTTGCTTTGGATTTTTCAAATGAGGCAATTTCAAAATGCTTATGAAAAAGCTATAAATATCGGTAAGAATGAGCTTTCAGTTTACAGGCTTAGCTTTAATTTAACTGACAATACTGAATACCTAGATCAAATTTCGGTTCCCAGTTCCCCAAATAACATTACAGTATCTTTTGAACACTTTAAGATGAGGAGGATCCACTGAAAAAGTTAATGTATCCTTCCATCAGAATCCACTCTTCTAGAAATAAAGAAAAACTTGCAACACCCACCCCCCGACAGGCACGTGCACGTGCGCACACACTCAATCTAAGAGTCCAGTGGAATACTGAGAAGAAATCACTTCCTTGAAAAAACTTATTGGGGGAAAAAAAAAAGGCCTAGCCTCCCTTGAGAATCCATCGCCTCCTTGGAATGTCAATGTTTGTGTAGATGACACCATCTCATGCACTGTGGCTCCAGGGTTTCTGTTACTAGTTTATGCACTTGGGAGACTGCTTAAATGGAAGATGTAGCACATTTTGCTTTCCCATTTATTGTTTGGCCGGCTATGCCAATGTGGTGCTATTGTTTCTTTAAGAAAGTACTTGACTAAAAAAAAAAAAAAAAAAAAGGAAAAAAAAAGGAAAAAAAAGAAAGCATAGACATATTTTTTTAAAGTATGAAAACAACAATTCTATAGATAGATGGCTTAATAAAATAGCATGAGGTCTAGTCGCCACCACCTTTCAACTTTTTATCACTCACAAGTAGCGTACTGTTCACCAAATTGTGAGTTTGGGGGTGTAGGGACAGAAGATGGAATTTTTGTAAAGTTAGAAGGCTCTGTTATTCTGCTGGCTCTCAAACTCAGCAAAATTAGCAATATGTTATCCAATCCAAACACCTCGATCAAGAGCATAGAGTATACATGGGGAAAAAAAGGACCTTACAGGCAAATGGCAGAACAAAACATGATGAAATTACTTACTGATTTTTGTGCTCTCTGCTCTAAAACAGATATTCAGCAAGTGGAGAAAATAAAAACAAAGAGTTAAAATGCATAGATTAAATCTGCTAAAAATAGCTTCTGCCACATCCCCCTTAAGTCATTCTTTGGCATTTACTGATTTATAGAAGATACTCTCCCTTCATCTAAACATCTCAAAGAGCAGTAGCTCTCATAAAAAGCAATCACTGATCTCATTGGGAAGTGTTGGAAAGTATTTCCTTATGAGATGGGGGTTATCTACTGATAAGGAAAGAGAAGAATTTATGAGAAATCGTTGAAAGAGATGGCTAACAATCTGTGAAGATTTGTTTTTGTTTTTGTTTTCGGGGTTTTTTTGTTTTGTTTTTTACTTTATACAGTCTTTATGAATATCTTAATGTTCAAAAATGACTTGGTTCTTTCTTCTTTTTTTATATTGGAATGAGGGATGATAAGTTAAACCCACATAGACTCTTTAAAACTATAGGCTAGATAGAAGTGTATGTTTGACTTGTTGAAGCTATAATCAGACTATTTAAAATGGTTTTGCTATTTTTAATCTTAAAAGAGTGTACTAATTTATTAGAGATGGTTCCTGTTTGGCTCTCTTCATAAGAAAGAGCATTCCCACTCAAATCACCTGGGCTTTCCCATCAGTGTTTTCAAAAGATAAATCTGATTTATCCGTCATTATGGCATCATTTATTTAAAAAAAATTTTAATAGAAGAATTGTAATTCTTTATGCCCCTCTCTTGCAATGATCATGAAGTTCAGAATATGAGGGAGCAAAAACAAGAAGAAAATTTTGTTGATTCTTTGTTTTTGGTTTGTTTAAATGCTAGTGTTTAATCCTATAGTACATATTTGCTTATTGCTATTTTAATATTCTAAAAGACTTTCCTGTTAGGTGTTAGAAACTGATACATAGATATCTTTTTTGTGTGATTTCTATTTAAAAAAAAAGGAGACGAGAGGACTGTCTGAAGCTTTAAAGTGCATATGGTACAGGATAAAGATACCAATTGAAATAACCAAGTCCTATCTAGAACAATACTTTTTTGGGGGAAACCTCTCATAGATAAAACAGAGGCCCAGGGAATTTTTGAAACTATCTCTATTCCTCCCAGTCCTTATTCATTTAGTATTTGCCTCAAATTTTTATAGAGGGGTGACCAAGCTGAAACCCTAGAATTAAAGGGACCTCTTTAAAAAACATATATTCCACATGTTCCCTCTTAATTTATGATTACACATTGATCTTAAACATGGTCCCTCTTTCTCCCCATTCTTCAGCTGTCATTGATAGGGTCTTTGAAGGAAAAAAATGTTAATTTTAAAAGGGGAACACAAAAGTCCAGTGTTACTGCCCAATTGAAATGTGAGTTAAGATGGAGATAGTTTCTCCTACTTTATCCCTGCTGAATCCCCTGATACCTTCAGAATGACCTTTTGTAAACCTTAGAATCTGCCTTTTATTTAATTGCCCAGACCTACTGCATCCTAAAAGTAAACATTATTCATTTTCTTTTGCCCAAAATGCACTGATGTAAAAGTTGGAAAAAAAAACAAAACAAAACTCAAAAATCCCTTCCAAGTCACCCACTGGCCCCATTTACCTACCCAGAGCAAAGTCACTTCTGTTAATCCCTTAATCTGATTTTGTTTGGATATTTATCTTGTACCTGCTGCTAAACACACTGCAGGAGGGACTCTGAAACCTCAAACTGTCTACTCACATCTCTTATCTGTGTCTGTGTATCATTAAAATGTCTATTCAAAATATTAAAAACTTTCAAACACCATGCAGCTTGTATTCAGTTTACATAAAGGCCCCAAATACCATGTCAGATCTCTTGTTACTAAGAGAGTTAATGAACTATGAGAACTGGGATTACATCATGTGTTTTGCTTCATATGGTTTTATCACACTTATAGGCCAAGTGTGATAAGTACACTTACAGACACTGAATTTTTCCCTGCTACTTTGAAACCAGAAAATAATGATTGGTCATTCATTATATCTATCTTAGTTCAAAAGCATATTTTTTATTAAATTAACTCTGATTGTATTTGAAATCATTCTTCATTTATGGCAGAGAAATATCAATCCTAATGACTTCTAAAACTGTAACTAACTGAATCATTATCTTACATTTACTGTTAAGTAAGCATATTTGGAAAAATGTATGGCTAGAGCGTCATAATAAAATGATATATCTTTCTTTAGTAATTACATTAAAATTAATCATGTTTGATTAATTAGTTCTTTTGGACAATGTTGGTGTAATGTGTCATTCCTTAAGAATTCTATTGTTATGTAGCATTTTTATTAATGAAGGTCACTGCAACAAATTAACAAGAAAACTTACCCAGAAAAATAAACCTAATCATACACCAGAATGGAGATATCTTATAGAATTTACAGATTATATTTAAAAATAAATGTTTCAAAGAGCTTGTACAAACTATGTAAGAGATGTATGAATTGTACGATATATGCATTAACAATAAAGCAGGTGTAATTAACTAACCCCACTCACTGTAACCCAACGGTGAGTTATAATCCATGACACAAGGGTCTGGGAAAAGATTTTCTATCAAATAGGGCACATAATATACAAGTAGCATTCA